ACTCCCGGGGAGGGGCCATCCACAACTTCCTTGGGCAACCTGTTCCAGTGTCTGACCACCCTCACAGTGAAAAACTTCTTCCTAATATCTAATCTAAACCTGCCCTCTTTCAGCTTAAACCCATTTCCCCTTGTCTTGTCATTAGCTGCCCTTATGAAAAGTCCCTCCCCAGCTTTCTTGTAGGCCCCTTCAGGTGCTGGGAGGCCGCTATAAGATCTCCCCGGAGCCTTCTCTTCTCCAGGCTGAACAGCCCCAACTCTCTCAGCCTGTCTTCATAGGAGAGGTGCTCCAGCCCTCAGATCATTCTGGTGGCCCTCCTCTGGACTTGTTCTAACTGGTCCATGTCTTTCTTATGTTGGGGGCTCCAGAACTGGACACAGTATTCCAGGTGGGGCCTTACAAGAGCGGAGTAGAGGGGCAGAATCACCTCCCTCGACCTGCTGGACACGCTTCTCTTGATGCAGCCCAGGATACGGTTATTGGCCTTCTGGGCTGTAAGCGCACATTGTCTGCTCAAATCATTGAATGATGTTAAAATAATATCTAATAGTTTTAGAGGAGACTGAGAGGAGATCTCATCACAGTCTGTAACTTCCTCACAAGGGGAAGAGGAGGGGCAGGTGCTGATCTCTTCTCTCTGGTGACCAATGATAGGACCAGGGGAAATGGCAGGAAGATGTGCCAGGGAGGGTTAGGTTGGACATAGTAAAAGGTTCTTCACCCAGAGGGTGGTGGAGGACTGGAACACGTTTCACAGGGAGCTAGTCATGGCACCAAGCCTGACAATATTCAAGAAGCATTTGGACAATGCCCTCAGATATATGGTCTGAATCCTGGGATTGTCTTATGCTAGGGCAAGAGTTGGGCTCAATGATCCTTGTGGGTCTTTTCCAATTTACAACATTCTATGATGATGTGTCCAGAAAATTCTTACAGATTACTTTGAGCATCACAAAATACTGGGTAGTTGTGTTTGATGTTCTGAGGATTTGGATATTGTTCTTGAGAACTTTCAGTTTGACCCTATAAAAGGAAAGCTCCCACTCCTTTGGCGTGTGTATTTGCAGGGCTGAGATACCTTTATCTTCTCTTTGTCTACATAAGCTTATCTTATACCTATAGAAACGGGCATATTATACTGCATGCCCTATTGTACTTTCATAGAATCATAGAATGGTTTGGGTCCACCCCTGTACAGTGAGCAGGGACATCTTCAACAAATCAGGTTGCTCAGAGCTCCGTCCAGCCTGACCTTGAATGTTGCCAGGGATGGAGCTTCTGCCACCTCTCTGGGCAACCTGTGCCAGTGTTTCAGCACCCTCATTGTAAAAAATTTCTTCCTTGTATGTAGCCTAAATCTGCCGTCTTTTAGTTTAAAACCATTATCCCTTATCCTATTGCTACAGGCTCTGCTGAAAAGTTTGTCCCCATCTTTGTTATATAGGCTCCCTTTAAGTATTGGAAGGCCACAATAAGGTCCCCTTGGAACCTTCTCTTCTCCAGCCTCAACAACCCCAACTCCCTCAAGCCTTTTTTCATAGGAGAGGTGTTCTGTACTTCTGATCATTTTTGTGGCCCTCCTCTGGACGCACTCCCAACAGGTCCATGTCTTGTACTAAGGACCCCAGAGGTGGACATAATACTGTAGGTGAGGTCTCACTGGGGCACATTAGAGGGGCAGAATCAGCTCCCTCGACCTGCTGGCCACGCTTCTCTTGATGCAGCCCAGGATATGGTTTGCCTTCTGGGCTGCAAGTGCACATTGTCAACTCATGTTCCCCTTTTCATCCACCAGTACCCCCAAGTCCTTCTCCACAGGGCTGGTCCCAATGTCTTCATCCCCCAGCCTGTACTGATACTTGGGATTGCCCTGACCCAAGTGCAGGACTTTTCCTGGAGTGTTTATGGGGGATCACTGTTTACTGACAGCTTCAGTTAAAGAAAAAGTTTTACCTTTTATCCCTGGAAGATGCAGCTATTTCTGCAGCGATCCAGATGCAGTGGCAGCTGTACTTTGCATGGTTCTTCAGCTCACAACTTAACCTTTTCCCATGTTTGCACACTAAGCAATAGTAGCTTTATTAGTATCACTCATGGCACTATCATAATATTTTGATCTGTAGTTAATAGCAAAGAAAAGACACAGTGAGTTATTGTAAATACCTATCTCAACAGCAGTATTGGAGGATAGACCTTATTTGTCTTCTTTCTATCTCTCCCACCATTGACTTACCATTTTTTTGTTTACAGCTTGTTACTTAATATACCTTATAGATTATATAAGGACTCAAGAATGAGAAAGAATAGCACACACTTTGATCTCAAATGATCCATGAAACTCAGAAGTATTGTATTTTTTCCCAAACTTCAGTAGCTTTCATTTTTAAATAAGGTTTTCAGAGTGTGCTAATATAAATAAAAGCACCGCTTGATAGGTGGGAAACTTTGTTCTGAATTCTGTCATTCAAAGTAGCAAAACAATTATTTGAATAATTAAGGTTTTTTTAAAAAAGTTTTTTAATGAAGAATAATATTTCTGTACTTTTATCAGGCCTCTGCTTACTGTCTGTGTTTTAAAACTCTCAGCCCTCACCACCTTCATATGCCAGTTAGGACTATCCTGCTGTGACTGAGCAAATGCTTGTAAAAGAGCATTAATTATTTTGGGGTGTGGTGTTCCTGTATCTGTTCAACACCCGCCTTCCTTTGTTTCAGGTTAGCAGTGATCCTCTGGAGTACACAGGGAAAGTCATCAGGAGTGGGAACTATTCCTGATAGCAGCCCTTCTCCCCTCAGCCTGGTCTGGGAGGAGAGTTGAAGGCAGCAGGCAGGGAACGTGTCCTCACCCTAGAGATCAGGCACACGCAGGAACAGCACATCTCCCTTGTAAGGGCAAACTTGAAGTGATAAACTTAACTTTATTAGTATATGAAACAAACTGTAGAGTATCAGTTAGTCACCTGTGGTGTGTGGGGGAGCTATCCTGTATTTCTAGAGGAAAAAAAGTTAGACTTGTTCCCTGTAATGGTCCTGTTCTTTCTGATTTATTTGGTTTTTTTAATCACAGACTTTAGTACTCCTGCGGAAGTTCAGTGGAATTTCAAGCATAATGAGTACATATGCTAATTGTACTCTGCTTGTCTGTTACAGAAATGTTAAAGTAATAAAACTTGGAGCTACTGAAGAAAAAATGTTAATGTTCTGCACTGTTCATGTTCTAGGTATTTTGGGAAACTGCTTATGGCGTGGGAACTGAAATGCTGTCTCTGGCTTTTTCTGGAGAGGGGAAAAAGTATCAGCCTCTTCAGAGAAAAACTGGTGAAGAAAATCTTTACTCTGCAGACACATCTTTTCATGAAGAGTTATTGAAATGTCTCCCAACTTCTTGTCTAGATTACAGATCTTGAAATATTCCTGCATAATTATTCTACTGATACAATTGTTAACTTTCACTACTTTGCTTCTCTGGATAGTGTTGAATATGCAGAGAAGCAGTGCTGCACATCATATTTTTTGTGTTGTATTGTATGGTTTACCAATCTTTCCTGTCATTCCATGACTGCTAAAGAACTTGCAGGAAGTATGGCTGGCATGACTGGGAGCTTATGAAAGAAGACGAGGGCTGATGAGAGGCAACGCGTTGTTATCAGTCATCTCTTTTTAATAAAAATTTTCCATTGCAAATGGGCAATTAATTTATACTCCTTCCCTGCCTCAGTGACATGGTACAAGGTATCTGCCTACCTTGGCAGCTGCCATTTACTGACCCTCACTCCATTGTTATTGGTTTATTTCGTTGTGTGGTTTTTTGTTTGGTTGGTTTTTTTCTTTACAGACAACCATCTCCCTTTTCAGATTCTGCTGCGATCTTAAAAATGTGTGTGACGTACAGAATAGCTGTGCATGAGTAGATTTAAAGGACAGAAAATACCAGTTTTAAATGTTGTGTAACAGAAGTTGCTGCCTGAAGCTTTCTCAGGATTACAAAATGTCCATCACACATTACTGT